CCCGTAATCAGTCTGAGGACTTTCAACTCGTACAATACAGGGCGGCATCTTGGGTCATCTTTTAAGTTTCTGAAGCTACAAACACACAGTCTCGTCCACCCTCATGCCGGTGGAAAAGAGCCCCCCAGCTTACATATATATCTTTTAAAATGTACTTTAGAGACCTGTGGATTTCTGTTCACTGGGGTTCATCGGCATTCGACTTTCTGGGGTTATAACAGATATGGTTTCTATCAGAGCTGTCAACTGATAGCCTGTAAGTTAAGTGTATGCATTTGTGTGTGTGTGCGTCTGCACAAGCATTTGCACACAGGCATATGGAACTTCTAAGAATTGAATGTGAATGCCTTTAGGAAAAACAGACATTCTTATTAATCACAATTCCCTTTCCTTATTATATTTCCTCCAACCACATTCATAGGTTCAAGTTACCTGCCTAGCCCCTCAACATTTCAAAACAGAGACATTTGGACACTCTGTCCAGAGGAACACAAGCAATTAAAATACTCTAGCCATGTCTTCTGTAGTCAATATTTCTTTAATCAGAACCTCAGGGAAATGTCTCTCAATTTTAATCTTATTCCAGTGACCCTGACCACTAGCTCTATTAATTATCCACCCCAGCCCTACTAACATGCTATGTAACTGAGGCATGTTAGCACACCTGTTTATGTAAATAACTCAACAAGGATCATGCAATAAAATGGATGCTGGAGAAAGACACCGTGCTTATCAAGGCAATTCTGCCAGTGCTGGCAAAATATCCTCAAAATGTTCCCCCATTCAGTCGAGTCTAGATGTTGAAAATCTGGTTTATATAATATTGATGGTGCCTAATTCCAGTCTAAAGCCTCTCCAAATCAGGGAAATTAAGGGAAGTTATTTTATTCCATAGTAATTCCTGAATACTGGTGTCTAGAAACAGACAGGCATAACTGTGGATCAGATAAGTTATGTAATATCTAGTACAGCAATGCAATTCTCAGAAATGCCACATTGTTACATTAAAATCCCCAAGTTCTCTTGCTCTCATGAAATACATTTTCCGGGTTTTGTGATGCAGCACATAGCCATGGATCCAGCGAGGATAAGTAAAAACGAGTGTTCCTATTCTTAGAGTACTTGGAGCAGGGAAGGGCATGAAATTTGGGCTGACATATTGATACCGACCGATGTCAGCAATCTTTTGGATTCCTCTGTTTCCCTCTCTACTACTCTCTGCAACTCTTGCAAGAATGCATAAAGAAATCACGTTGGGGTGAGCTCGTGCACGATGTTAGGAAAGAGAGATGGAGGGGTGGCCAGAAGACCTCACACTTACGGTCCATCCTAGACTAAGTGGACCTGCACTTATCCCATTCCATTCAGAAGGCGAGTCTCTGGAAACTGAGGGGTTTGACAAAGTTGGTCGCCACCTCACAGAGTTCTGAGAAGTAATTACGAGGGAGAGAGTTCATAAGGATTAGGTCAATTTAACCCCGGTGAGTGTGACCAACAGTTTAGTAGAAACTCATGCTGCCTCTGTGACAGGTCAGTGTTGGGGAACATGGGGCAGTTGTCACGACTCCATAGAGAAAACGTTTTCCATATTTCGCTTTGGGGAATGGTACCGTCTTTCCCATATGCAGGGATGTTTTCCTTGTGTCTTTCTATGCATAAAATTTAAATGGAACGGTTATTCTTGCAAATGAAAAATAGTCCATGTTTGGCCATTTTTTTTTTCTAAATAAACACTGTTGGTCCTGAATATAGATGCTCAGGTTCTTTTAATATTTAAAAATCTCCCAAGAAGATCACAGCCAATCTCCTGTGAAGCATCCCAAAGAACGAGGACACCTGAGTCTCCGTGGCTCAATGTCAAGAAGAAATGAATAATGCCTTCATGCCTGACATATTTTTGTCAGAAAATCACTGGTGCATTTAGGTTTTCTGGTCAGAAACCACAAATGAGTTA